TGCCGGCAAACCGTTAGGAACAAAACCCCCCAGAACCCGGCCACGCAGCCCGGAGGCCCCCCACCAGCCATCGTATGCCGGCCGTGAAAGCCTTCGACAATACAACAGACTCTGCCTCGCGCCTCTTCTCCCACCCGAGTGGGAGAATCTTTCAGCTCATCTTCTGGGCCAGGTATTACATTCAACAAACGGGCAGAGTGAAGAAGCCTGAGGCTTGCCCCAAAGTTCTCAATACTCCGCTGTTCTCTCAGAATGGCTCACAGCCACAGGAGCCCCAAGCAACACCTGCCTGCAACAAAGCCCAACTCTAGAGGCCCCAGGGCCAGCTGGTTCCTGCCCATCCCTCCTTGCCCCACTCACTCTTCATGTAATCCAGGTCTGCTGAGGCCAAGGTCAGCGCCTCCGACTCATCCGTGGGCACCTTCTGGTACCTCGCTTGCTCCATGCCAGTCATGCTGCCGATGCGGCGACGCTCGTTCAGGTTGTAGCTGCGATGGCCTGGCTGCGATTTGGAGAGTGGGCGTCCTGGGGGGGAACTGCCCTCAGCCACACCGGCACCCCCCGGGTCCTCGAGGTCTGAGCTGCAGGACACAGGCCCCATTTCAGCATCTGAGGGGCCGCCATCCCCCTCCCAGAGCCCCAGCTTCCCTGCCTCTAGATTCTCCATGGGCACACGCTCCCCAGAAGAGGCCTGGGATTCTCCTGGCCCACGTGTTGTGCTTTGGCAATCGAGCCAAAGAGTCCCGCCAACTTCACGCAGTCCCTTCCAGCTCTTCTACCGCCCTCTGCTCTAGCACTCCTCCAGCCCCCCACAGCTGCTTCAGCACCCCAGGAGAGGCCCCTCCTCTGCCCTAGACCTCCTGAACTCCACAATCTGGAAGGATCCCTGCTTTTCAGCAGCTCCATTCTTCGCCAAAGCATGCCTCGGATGCCTGTGCCCGGTTGCGCTCTCACTCACCTGCTTGCCTTGGTTCCCCCCAAAACCCGGGGGCACCCAGAGTCAGCCCTTGGGCCTGAGAGCAGCGCCGGGTCTCGCTCTCCCGAGAGCAGGGTCTGCCGATCAACATCGTCCTCTTGCAAAAAGAACTGGAAGGGGAGAAGGGGAGGATCGGCTCCAGAGAAGGATGCCCTCTCAGTCCCCCCCACCCCACCGCGCAGCTCCTACCTGCACACCCTCTGGAGAGCTGCTCTGAAGCCCGTCCTCCGGGGTGGGCTCTGTCTCCGTGTCACAGGTGTCATCCTCACCCTCTTCTTCCTCCCCCCCTTCAGCCTCTTCCTCGATGGTGGGCGTCTCCCCAGCAACCGAGGCCCGGGGCCTTTTCTTCTTGCTTTTCTTGGGTGCCCCCTTTTTTCGCCGGGCATCAGAGGGCAGGTGACTGGAAAGCGGGTGATGGATGTGATGGGAGGAGTGGCGGTGGTCTGCGGAAGAGACGGGCTGTGGGCCTCCGCGTGCCGGCCCCTCCCACAAGTCCGGCAGGAGACA